TTAGCTAGCAGACTGTATCAAGGCCAGTTACAGAAGAAGGGTGGTAAATGTGCCCTCAGGTGTCACTTCGTGGTTTTTTGGGTTTTTGTTTTTTTTTTTTTTTGCGAAAGGCGATACACGATTCTAACAGTTAATAGCTATTTTTCTCAGAACTTATTTTCTTACAATTAATGAGGATAAGTGATTTAAATTGTCTCCCAGCAAGTGTAAGATAGTGTTTTGCCCCGCTAACAAAGTTAGTTGGCTTTACACAGTATGGTGTTTCATAACCACACACTATATACTCATCCAACTAGTCACAGGGAAAGTGTGGCAAAATGAGAGTTGATGGGTCAGTAGTCACCTACTAATTATGGAACACTAGTGTCATCTGTGTGTACATAATGTGTTACAGAGGGAGAAAATGAATAACAGATGCTGTTGTCAGCTTGACGACACATGGAATGGAAAAAGGGTCTCGGAAATTTCAGTGCATTGTAGTTAGTCACAAAAGTAACCTAAGAGGAACTCGATATTTTAAAACGTTTGCATTTATGAACTTGTTTAGGTGCAGAAGGGAGTGTTGGAGGCAAATAGGCTTTTATCTCCTCTATTAAAAGTGGTCTTTCTGAGGTCATAAAACTAGTTAGTTGTAGAAGCTAAACTAGAATCAATGACTCCTACTCCAGTAGCTTTTCTCACCTACTTTTGCACTGCTTATCCTGAAAAGTACCATAAAATTTTATTTGGATGAAACTACCCCTAAATGGTAGCAAAATTTGCAAACGGTTACTTCTAAGAACATAAAATTATTACAGGTCTACCCTGCTTATATGCCTTAAATTTGAGGGTTTAGAATATTTGGAAAGACAAAAAAGTTCAGTCCAACCAACAAGCTTTTAAAATCCATTTCTAAAAAAGCTTTGACTTAATTTTTACCAAATACGAGAACGATATCACAATCTAACAAGTGATGTGTGTGATCAATTAAGACATCAAAGGCAGACCAGAATTTAGAGATCCTACTTGAGAACTTTTGACATAAAGTTACACTAGTATATTGTAATGGTAACAGTTCCTTTATAGAATTTCTGTTCATTAAGATGTAATTATATCCCTTTAAAGCCTTAGTATAATGACAGATTAAAATAAAGCCTAAGGGCTGGGGATATAGCTCATCAGAGTGCTTGTCTAGCATTGGTTCAGTTCCCAGTGCTGCAGTTAAAAAACAAGACCTAATGTTTTTTCTTAATCATCTGAATGCATGTTGGATGGTATGATCAAATGGTTGTCTGTGCAGGATAGTTTAAATATAAAACATTCTTGTAATTGGTTTAATCTGAGACATATTTGCTCCTATATGATCAGAAAATGTAAGGTAGTCTCATTTATCCATTATCATCTTTCCTGGCATAGCTTTGTCTTTTAAAAATTAAGTTTTTTTATCTTCTTTTTCTGGCTCCATTTTCAATTGTAGCTGTCCTATAGTTTTTCCTAGGTAGCATAAAACAAAAATAAATGCTTTACTTGGTTTTTAGAGACATAGTGAGATCTGGGCTCTAAACCCACAAAATGAGTAAATGAAGCATCAGAATAGCAAGTGTCTACACGTGGCCCAGTAGAAATCTTGAATCTGCCCAAAAACAACCAGGAAGTACGGCCATGCTCGCTACTTGCCTTAGGAACAGTTTGTTCCAAATAAAGATTAGTTTATCCATCTAACATTTATTGAATTTCAACTCCTCAAAAAACTGGTAGTCAAGGAGGCAAATGAATAATTATGCTAAAAAATACCGCTATAGAAATCTGTGTACTTGGGTTGAGAGAGAATGGATAAGAAAAAGCTTAGGGATTAGGTAGGGGGAGTTGGAGAGAGGGCAGAGGGTTGCAAGGTTTAAAAGGGAGAATAGGGTTGTGAAGGAGGGAGGAATGAGTAACTGCAGCTGATAGAGCTGTACTTCCTCCTAAGATTCTTAACAAGTAAAATAACCTTTTTATTTTTTTGAAAGATCACTCTAGTAGAGACAAAAAAATAAGATTATATTTGTACAATTCAGATGTAAAATTATAGAAGCTTGAATACTGATACAGTTATGGGAACAAATAGGAGAAAATGATTCTCAGTAAGTTGTATGAAGTTGTACATTTAGCCAAGAAATCATTAAAAAAAAAAAATGCCCTCTGCTTTGGTTTTATTGAGCCAAAGAGTATAAGGAATTAAGAACCTATTGCGTTTACATAAGTAATTATGCAAATATTACTAATTCCTTTCAAGTAGAGCCAAGTCACCAAAATAGATAAGAAGTCAACTTTTACCACTTTGATTAGGATTAAGTTAAAGGATACCATATGACATAATCATTTATAAATAGGAAATTCTATTAAGAACCTCTCACATCAGCAAGAATTGTGATAATACAGAAAGAAAATAGAAACCAAGAAATGATTATTTCTAAATAAGAGGGTGTTTTTGCAGCGAAGAACTTGCAGATCAGAACTCTAAAGGTCTGTTTTTCATTCATGAACTTATGAACTAGACTGAAGCTTTGATTCTTCTGGTTAAGGATTATGAAGACTACACATCTGATGTTTGTTGTAGGACTTGTATATGAAAATCACTGATAGTTGCCAGATTTTGTGTTGTTAGTTGTCAGGGGAGGGGTGAAGATCAACAAGGAAGCTCAGAGTCTAATTGATGAATATAAAAAATGTAATTGTAGACAAAGAATACAAGATATGCTGTGCACCAAAAACATCATACAAAGATCCTTTGAATTGAGAACAGTGAACTGTGCTGCACAAACATACCCGTTGCTGTATTCATTTCTTACAAATACTGTCTTTTTATTCAGATGTATAGCCATGGGATTGAGCTGGCTTGCCAAAAGCAGAAAGAATTTGTGAAGAGCTCTGTGGCTTGCAAATGGAATCTTGCTGAAGCTCAGCAGAAACTTGGTAGCTTAGCGCTGCATAACTCTGAGTCCTTGGATCAGGAGCATGCTAAAGCACGAACAGCAGTGTCAGAACTGAGGCAGCGGGAAGAAGAATGGAGGCAGAAAGAAGAGGCTTTGGTCCAAGGAGAGAGGATGTGTCTCTGGAACATGGATGCCATTAGCAAGGATGTTTTTAATAAGGTATGATATTTTATTGGGCCATAAAGCAATAAGGGGCTGGGTATGTGACTCAGAGGTAGAGTGTGCAGGAGGCTCTGGGCTCCAGTCCCAGAGCTGCATGTAAAAACCAAGAAGAAGGAAAAACAGAAGCATTTGTAAATTTCTGATAGCAAAGCAACAGAATCCTCTTAAAACAGTAAACATCTCTAAGCCTTGCTTTCTTCAATACATAGGGAGGCTGTGAAGATTAAATACGGTAACATCCTAAAAGGTAATGTTTTAGCATGGGGTCTGGTATGTGGTTAAGTTGAGATGTACAAGTCCTACTTTCTGATGTTGCTGTGTATCAGCTTGCTATCAGTTTTATAACATGTTTAGTTACTAGATTTATTAAATGAAAGTCTTTCACTGCTTATTTACCATTGTGCATTTAGTAAACTCAGGTGATAATCTCTTTAAGAAAATTTAAATTTGATTATACTGGGTTACATGAAACAGTCTTCATGCAGGTACACAACGGACTTTAAGATGTCCACCCTGCCAGCCTGCCTTTTGTCATACTAGACAGTTTATTGCTTCTGTTTTCATATCATCTGTATATACATTATTTTATATATTTATATAAAATTGAGGACCAACAAATGAGAGGAAAAACACTATTTTTCTGAAATAGGCTTAATTCATTTAATATGATTATATCCAGTTGCAATCCATTTTCCTGCAAGTAATATAACCTTGTTCTTTTGTTGTTGTTTTGAGACAAGGTCTCACTATGTAGCCCTGGTTGGCCTGGAACTTGCTATGTATTCCAGGGTAGCTTCTAACTCACAGAGATCCGCTGACTCTGCCTCTTGAATGTTCAGATTAAAGGCTTGTGCCAGCATACCTGGTGAACCTCATTCTTTTTTATGGCTGAAGAATACTACATTTTATACTTAACATACCCACACACATGCACACACACACATATACACACACACATCATGTTTTCTTTATCCATTCATCTGTTGGAGACCTGGGTTAGTCCCATAATTTAGTTGTGAATAGTGCTGCAATGAATCTTGATGTGCAAGTATCTCTGATATGTCCACTGGGCATCTTTCAGGAGTGGTATATCTGGGTCACGTGGTAGATCTAGTTTCAGTTTCTTTTAATATTTTTATGTATATGAGTGTTTTGCCTGCATGTATGTAACTGTACTCATGTTATACAGTGCCTGTGGAGGTCAGAAGAGGGCATCAAATTCTCCTGGAACTGGAGTTACAGATGATTGTTAGAGCCATGTGGGTGCTAAGAATTGAATCCAGGTTCTCTGCAAGAGCAGCCACTGCTCTTAACTGCTGGGTCTCCTCTCCAGCCCCTAGTTTCAGTTTCTTGAGAAACGTCCGTATTGGCTTCTATAATGACTATTTTACGTTCCCTTTTGTCTACATCCTTGTTATTTTATAATACCTGTCATTCTGACTGGGGGGGGGGGTTGAAATCTCAATAATTTGTTATTTGGTATTTTGAGTTCTTGGTATACATTACTAGATATTGGAGCCAGTGAGATGGCTCAGAAGATAAAGGCACTTAATGCCAGCCAAGCCTGACAACCTCAGTCCCATCCTCAAGACCAACATGGTGGAAGGAGAGACTCCTGCAAATGGTTTTCTGACCTCCACTGTATTCTGTGGCATAAGTGGACATATGCACACACACAGATAATAAAATAAAAAGAAATTAAAAAAAAAATTTTAAAGCCAGGCATGATTGCACACGCCTTTACTCTCTGCACTTGGGAGGCAGAGGCAGACAGATCTCTGTGAGTTCAAGGCCAGCCTGGTCTACATAGTGAATTTAGGCCAGCTGGGGCTACAGGGAGACCCTGTCTCAAAGACCAAAAGAATTTAAAAAAAAAAAAAAAAAAAAAAAAAAAGACATTAAAGGCTGGAGAGATGGCTCAGCAGTTAAGAGCAGTGGCTGCTCTTCACGAGGACCCAGGTTCGATTCCCAGCACCCACATCGTAGCTATCAACTGTATTTGACTTCAGTTCCGGGGGATATGATGCCCTTTTCTGACCTTTGTGGGCATTGCACAACACGGGTACACTTACATATGTGTAATATGTGTAGGCAGTACATACATACACATAAAATAAAAATAATAAATTATAAAAAGATATTAAGCATCTTTCAGATATAGCAGGTTTTCTCCAATTTTTGTAGGCTCTCTTGATTTTTTTTTTTTCTGGGCAAAGCTTTTTAACATCATGAAATTTCATTTGTCAGTTGCTCGTGTTATTTCTTGAGCAACTAGAGCCCTATTCAGAAAGTCTTTGCCTGTGCTGTTATCTGAAGTATTTTCTCTAACAGTTTGAGTTTCAGGTCTTACATTTAAGGTCTTTGATCCACTTGGAGTTGATTTTCAGATAGGGTGAGAGAGAGAATAGTCTAGCTTCATTCTTCTGCATGTTGTTGAAGAGGGGCTGTCCTTTCTCTAGTATAGTGGGGTTTTTTGGTTG